AGTGGAGGGGCAGGGAACGAGAGGGAGGGCCTCAAGGAGATGGACGGACCCAGGGGCTGCAACCATGGGCTCGAATAACAGAACAATAGCGAGGACGTGCAGGGCTGGGTGGTGTTTTCTTCAGCTGGACACAGAGTTGTCAGGAGTCCGAACCGACTGGACACTCGCTCACAACAACATCATCACCAGGGACAAGAAGGCCAGAGCTTTCCCGCACTTGGGGACTCGTCTTTGAAACAGGACACTTTCCCGGAAACGTGACAAGCCAGACTGACAGCCTGAACTTTAAGTAATAAAATATCACTGTTGTTTTCTATCCGCAAGACGCTCCACTGAATGCTTAATTTAGAACCACACAATTATGCCTGCTAAATACCGATTAATTATTAAACATGTTTATTGAGGTCTGACAGCCCTAGAAGAGAGTCCTCTTTTATATGCCGAATGCCAGTTCAGCTTCAATAAATCTGTTAACAATCATTTGATGTTTAATGCGCCTACAATATTGGCTGTAAACTATCAGGAAGGGGTTGGAGGAAACACCTATTTCTAAAAAACAAGGCCCAGGTTGGCAATCGCCGGCTCATTAGTTGGGTCTGAACCTCAGGTCCCATTAGCTGGAGGGGCCCAAGGCGGGCACCACAGAGGGAAGGGTCACCCATGGACATGCCTTCGCAGGTGGTAGCTCCAGTCCTGGAGTCATCTGGTCAGGGCTAGTGCCACTGTCTCTGCGCTGTGTGACCTCAGGCACATGCCTGGATGGCTCTGTGTCCCCTCTATAACAGTTCAACCTTCTGTGATGGCATATTGTGATAGACAGTAGGCCCGGGGTTTCCTAAGGTGGGATCTGGACAGAAGTAGATCTCCAAGTTTCTTCCCTGAGAGCTGCTCGGTGGGCTCAAACCACCGACCTTCCCATTGGCAGCTGAGTGCTTTACTGTTGTTCCACCCTGGCTCCTGCAGTTCAGTTGGAAGAATTTCAGTCTACCAGCTGACAGAGAGAGCGAGAGTGAACTGTGAGCACCAGTTCTAACTCCCTCACTGGGGAGAAAGCGCAGTTCGGCTCTGTAAGGGCTCCCACGTGTGGTATATCTGTTTCAGCAGCGCAAGGAGGGCCTGAGAGCGGCTGGTGGGTGACTCTGGGTATTACTACTATTGTCATCCTCGATGCGAAGTCTTTCTAAGCATTAGCCTGAGAGGGAAGCCCCACTTTCCTCTCCATGGGCTCCTGGCTGGGCTTATCTGGACCATGCGGGCACACGATGTGGACTGCCCACCTTGGAAAATGGCTAACAAGTAGCTAC